TATGGTCTCAGCGGCCACTCGGAAGGCGAAGGGCACCGCCGCAGCGAGCAGCGCCGCCGCGGGCAGCGGCAGCGCTACCGAGACCGCCGCCGCCGAGGGGCCTAGGGCCGCGCTTGCGCCAGCACCGACGTCCTCTTCTTCGACTTCCGACTCGGAGTCCAGCTCCAGCGAGAGCAAGAAAAAGAAGAACAAGAAGAACAAGAAGAAGAAGGACAACAAAAAAAAGAAGGAGCAGCGCCAGAAGGAGAAGAAGAAGACCAGGGAGGTTGACAAGAGAGCGACGGAGAAGGCAGAGAAAGACAAGCTTCGAAAGCAGAGGGCTGCCCAGGCCGCCGCCGAAAAGGAGGAGAAGAGGGCGAAGCGCCAGACGCAGAGCGATGCCGCGAAGGCGCTCGCGAAGGTCTCTCCCCTCGCGTCCTCGCTCGAGACGGCACTCAACCACAGCATGATCACGGATGTTCCGAAATTCGTGACCAAGACAGCGAAGGAGGCGCTGGCCACCCTCAAGAAGTACGCCCAGGAGGCCGAAGAGGCCATCAAGACGCACGATCCGCAGCCGCTGTCGTTCAAGCTCGAGGAGGTCATCAGCGACGCGAGGGCCGCGCAGGACTCCCACGACAAGCTCGCCAACGTCCTGAAGAGCGTGGAGCAGGCCGCGAAGTGAGGGGCGCCTTCAGGGCGCCATGGCCAGGCTCGGGGCTCGTGCGCTTAGGCGCGCGGCTCTGCGACCCGCCGCGTCGAGTCTGGTTCAAACTTCGCGCCCCTCTTGTTGCCGAGCGGTAAGCCAACCGCTACTCCCCAGCGGTAGAACCACCGCTCCCTTTCCCACCCCCTGCCCCCACTCTCCCCATTCCCAGCGGTAGACCCACCGCTCCTGTCCCTCCAATTCCCAGCGGTAGACCCACCGCTTTCGTTTCAGCTCCAGCGGTAAACCCACCGCTCGCTTCAGACACCTCACAGCGGTAAACCCACCGCTCGCTTCAGAAACCTTTTGGTCCCAGTCGGACTCCGTGCGAGCTCCCATCGGGGTCCCTGATTCGAAAATGGCCTCTTGCAAGAGGCCATTTTCGAATCAGGGACCTCGCATTCAACTAAAAAGTTATATGATTGTTTCGGCGCCGATGCGAACCGATTCAAGCTACACTTTGAATTACATGATATATACTTTGTTATTCAATGTACACTTTGATTTTTAAGATGCACTTTGAGATTTAAAATGCATTTTGGATTTCAAACTGCCAGTTGATTTCCGACTTACTTTTGGTTTTCAAGGTACTCTTTGCTTTGCAAGCAACACATGCATTGTCAATATACATTTTCAGAAATCTTGTCATACCATCCCTTTGCCACTGCTGCCGTATCCCCTCCCTCGTCCCCGCGCTGCCGATGCGTTCCCGATTCGCTTGCCGCGCCCCCGCGACGCGACGCGCCCGCAGCCATTCGTGGCTGAAGGGGCCCGCGACGCGACGCGCCCGCGCCCGCAGGGAGCCGCCGATGGCAGAATCGAAGCCTGCAAAAATCAGGAGGCTCTTTGCTGGCACAGGATTGTCGAGGAACCATACGCAACTCTCGGAGCTACTGCAGAGATTGCGAACCGCTGACGAAGCTGACAGGGAGGCTGCTCTTGCCTGCAATCGCGGCCACCTGCAGCGGGCCCTCGACGATTTGTGGAAACAAACATGCCAGCTGGAGCATTTCGAATGCACGGCACACACACGGGGCATGGAACTCGGCGCCACGCTCTCGTTGCCTAAAGTTCTGCAGCTCGCAGCCCGCACCGCGCCAGGGTACGCCTCCCTCCTGAACGAGTTGTGGCGACAACGCCCTTGCACTGCCGAGTCGCCATACCACCTCGTGTGTTACGCAGATGAATTCGTACCAGGTAATGTCCTCAGGCAGGACAACCGAAGAAAGTGTTTCGGCATGTTCGTGACTATCAGAGAGTTCGGCCCCCACATCACCAAGCATGTTGAAGCCTGGTTGCCAGTCATTTGCATCCGATCCACTGTGGCGAAACAGATCGAAGGGGGCGCCTCGAATGTAGTCAGAACTTTTTTGCGACGAATGTTCATCGAAGATGAAATTTCTACAAAGGGCGTGTTGGTACAGCTGGACGCGGCCGCCTCTGGAACAGCAGCTATGTATTTCAAACTCGGCAACCTGGTCCTCGACGGCGACGCCGCCAGGATTGTATTTTCGCAGCTTGGGGCCAATGCCAATCTGCCATGCATGAATTGCCTCAACGTACTGCAGCTACGCGGCGATGCTGTTCGAATGCCACGGGGGTTCGTTGGTCTCCGCTGCTCATCCCCATCTTTGTTTTCGCGCGCCACAGACGGCGACATCTGGCAGAAGGCTGACGAGGTTCTTGCGTTGGCACCGAGACATCTGCAGGCTGGGCAAACAGCTAGAGGAATTAAGCGCGTCCCTTTGGGTGTGATTTTCGATCACGAGCTCAGGCCGCACTGCCCGCCGATACGGACATCCACCCACGACGCCATGCACATCTTGAACGGCATGGCATGCTTAGAGATGTCTTTGATTTTGGTAGCAATGTTTCGGCACAGGTGGCTTTCATGGAGCGGCGTACGCACGTGGATGGAATCGAATTGGAAATTTTGCGGCGCTTTCTCAGGGGCGTCTGCGGAACTCAAGGCGGCATGGAACGACGCTCGGCAGAAAGCTTTCCAGAAGAACAAAGAGTTTAAAACTGGGGCGTCCGAGCTGATCATGATTATTCCGCTCTTCAATTATTTGTTGCATTGCGTGGTGAAGCCCTGTGGTATTCTGGACAAAGAGATTCGTAGTTTCAATTCTCTTGCGCTGATTTGTGGGTTTCTCAAGCAAGGTAAATTTGGCAGGGACGTCAGCTCCACTGCGAGTGGCCTCGACGCGATGTTCGCCGAGCACGCCGAAGCTTTCAATGACGCTTATCCTAAAGGTGACGTTATCCCTAAAGCTCATTGGGGCTTTCACCTTGCGCACCAGTTACGCCGAGATGGGTACAGCATCGATTGTTTCGTGGGCGAACGCCAGAATTGTATCATGAAGAATTGCGCCCAGTCTGTTAAGAATACGAGATCGTTGGAAAAAATCAATTCTGAGTCGCGTGCTGGCCGATCGCCTTGGAGCCCTGGCCGATGCTGATTTTTTTCTGGACCGATTGCACAAGCCAGAGAGCTCGCCGACGTTGGCCAGAGCGGCGGGCGTTTCGTCTGCCTCCATGAGCGGTTCTATGAAATTTCGCGGGACAACCCTCGCGGCTGGAGACGCTGTCTGGTGCGACGGCGTTGTATGCATCGTGGCTGGCTGCGCCTTTCTGGACACCGCGCCCGTCATTGTCGTCGACGAGATGGTATTTGTGGAGCAGGTGTCGCCAGCCGCTTCTCGCTGGAGGAGCGCGCCAGGAGGTTCTTATTCTCTGGTGTTATTGGCCGACTGCGACGTGGTCTTGTCAGCAGGCTTTTCCTGGGATGGAGATGGCGTGGTCGTTCTTGCCTGGTGATGTGGTGCAAAAAACATCCTTGCGCTGGAAAAAGAACATCATCATTGTCCTTTCTCCTCCCTCAGCGGTGGGGCTACCGCTTGCCAGCGGTTGTCTACCGCTACTTGCTTGCATAGCGGTTGGTCTACCGCTCCTCGCATAGCGGTTGGTCTACCGCTCCTCCCGCCCGTCCTCCTTCTCCCGCCCCCCCCCTCTTCCCCTCTCCCTCCTCCGCCCCTCTCTCTCCAGCCCCCCCCCCTCCCTTCCGAAATAGTGAAAAATAGCGGCGCTATTTGCTTTATTTTAACATGAATAAGCACACTATTTGATGTTATTACTTCTTAATAAAATACTAAATATAATGCTAAATAAAGCTAAATTAGAGATCAAATAAACATGCTATTAGTAGTGCATAACCATTATAACATACATAACTTCAGCAAGGGGGGGCGATCATTGCAGTGGCGGCCAGTGCTTCGTCCCAGGTGGATATTCGACGGTCCCGGGGGCCAGAAGCACCCCCCCGGACGCTGGCCATGACGGCAACTCCTCGCCTTCTTCTTGGGTCAAGACGGTATAAGAAGGTCAAGGACTTCAAAGAAACACAAGAAGGGCAGGGGCCAGGGTAGAACCCAAAACAAAACAGTGCCTGGTTCTTCGTTCGGGTCAGAACTTCGACGCGGATCCAGCCGTGGCGACGAGGGGTCCCCAGGACCCCTGCCCAAACAAAAAAAAACTCACTCATATTGTCGGCCCGTATCAGAAGGATGCGCGGCAAGGGTGCGAGAGCCTTGGAGGCCCACCTGACCGTTTTTAAACGAGGTTGGCCAGCGAACGTCGCTGAGGATGGGCCGAAGCGGCAAGGATCGTGGATGGACAGAACACACTTTAGTAAAACATGGTTTAGTGAAAACGACCTCGGGCCCAAATCTGGCGGGCACAAGCCTGGAAAACGACGGCCGCGGCGCCCCCGCGAGCACCGGGAACGGACAATTCATTCATCGACGTGTTAGGGTGGGGGTTCTGTCCACCTCCGAAAGGATGCAGGGGGCACCCCTGGCAAAGCTGGACCTAAACGCTGTTTTTGGCGATTTCGTGGGCCGCTTTCGTTTCGACTTCGCTTGGCGGCAAAGGCGGATTCGAAACACAAAAGCAAGGGAACACGGAACAGAACGAGAACGACAAACACTGCTTGGGGCCAGCCCTGACACCTGGGAAAGGGTGCCCATCCTTGCCGCGCGGGCTGCCCGTGCCTCTGGATCTCTGCCAAGAAACAGGGCTAGAATCGGGATAAATCGCTCCAGAGCGTTCCGGAGCGCTCTCAGAGCGTTCCGGAGCGCTCTCAGAGCGTTCCGGAACGCTCTGGAGCGGCCGCGGCGCCCAATACGTCCCCCTACCCCGCCGATTCTCAGAGATTTTGAGTTATCCCGATCCGATTTTGTCCCGATCTTCGCGTCGTTTGATCCCTGCCAAGAAGGCCCCCCACCCGCGGCGAAGGGGGGGCCGCCGGCCCCGCCTGCCGGAGAAAGCGGCGGCGGGCCAGCGTTGGAGACCCGAGCCTCGTCTCGGGCGGCGCCGCGCGATGAGGGATGAGGGGCAAGGGGGGGTAACGATGATGATGAGGATGGTGATGTTGATGATGAGGATGGTGATGATGATGAGGATGAGGATGATGATGATGATGATGATGATGAGGATGAGGATGATGATGATGATGATGATGATGATGATGATGATGATGATGATGATGATGGTGGTGGTGCTGATGTTGATGATGAGGATGGTGATGATGATGATGATGATGATGATGATGATGATGATGATGGTGGTGATGTTGATGATGAGGATGATGATGATGATGATGATGATGATGATGGTGATGATGATGATGATGGTGGTGGTGGTGATGGTGATGATGATGATGATGATGATGGTGATGATGTTGCTGATGAGGATGGTGACGGTGCTGTGGATGAGGAAGAGGATGCGGAGAAGGACGAAGACAGGGATGAGGATGCTGATGCGAACGCTGGTGTTCACGATGGCCATCGCACATGGTGGTGGTCGTGGTGGGGCGAGGACGGTGGCGATGATGGTGATGATGACGGCGGTGATGACTGGCTTCGCAGCACGGTCAAGTCGGGCACGATGCCCCTCATTTAGTGGAGATCCCCCTGTCACATCTCTCCTCCCCCTCCTCTGGCCACAGCGGCGCGATGACGCCGAGGATGGCCTCCGCCCCTGTGACAACCGCAGCAGCCCTGATGGCCGTCAGCACCGCCCGGCTCGGGAGCGGCGCTGGGAGGCCCCGCGTCACCCCATGCTTGGCCGCGCCCACGCCTTTTGCCAACTGCGAAGGCCGCGACGCAATTGCCATACCGCTGGCGCTTTTCACTTTCTTCAAAATTTTGAAATTCGTTTTGAGAACCAGTATTTTTCTCACATGTCGTAGGTTATGCCGCGTCTGGCAGTTAAACTCTCAGGTCCGTAGCTGCTATATTACTATCAAAAGACTTGAGGGAACTGTTGGCGGGTTTTGAGTCATCTCGACACGCGTTGACGGTGGAACGCTCCGCGGTGCGAGTCGCCAGATGCAAGTCCGCGGCTGCCGCGCGAGCACCGCCGTGCGGGTCAGAGTGCAGCGTGGCTTCAAGCCACGTCCACGTCACATCGGCTGGCCTCAGCAGACATAGAAAAACGCCTCCATCATGCCGCCGTCAAGATCCGTCCTGCAGAGCTCCGGGACGTGCGACTCGCCTGCGACGACCGCACCAGCCTTGCGCAGCGCCCCAACGAACGCGGATCTGAGGTCGCACTGCCGCCGTACCCGTGAAGGGCCCACCATGCAGCAGACTGCATGATGACGATGATGATGCTGATGATGCTGCTGCTGATGATGATGGTGATGGTGATGGCGATGATGATGAGGAGGAGAAAGCTAAGGATGATGATGATGATGGTGATGCTGATGACCCAGAGATTTTGCGATGATGGTGATGGTGAATGACGGTGACGGTAACGATAATGATGATTACGACGACGACGACGGTGACGGTGATGGTGATGGTGATGGTCATGGTGATGGTGATGAAGATGAAGATGAAGATGAAGATGAAGATGATGATGATGATGATGATGATGGTGGCAATGATGATATATATTGTGATGCTGATGATGATGACGATGACGATGATGACGACGACGGCGATGAAGTCGAATACAAGGATGGAGATCAGTATAAAGATAATCATAAAGGTGAAGATGATGATGATGATGATGATGATGATGATGATGGTGATGATGATGGTGATGATAATGGTGATTGGTGATTGGTGATGGTGATGGTGATGATAATGATGATCCTGATGGCCCCCCAGGTACTCCGAGACGAAAGTGTGAATCAAAACCAAACAACCAAGCACTACACGTGACAATGATTGCCCAGGGTACCGATCATCATGGAACAACGTAATACGAATAATGCGTTGGCGCAGGAGGGACGATGGCAGGATGTGGCGGCGCGGGAGGAAGGGGGTATCGGGCCCGTTGTGCGCCCCGCGCGCCAGTGGAGCGGGATCCAGCGCCGATCCGCAAAGTCCGCGCGGACGTCGAAACATTCATCATTCGTGTGTTTTGTGTTCGACATTTGTCATCGCTGCTACCTGAACACTCCTCCGCATGCCAGGTGGGGTGCAGCTCCGTGAGCAGAGCTCGGGAGCGGACACAGAGCCCCCATGTGCCCCACACTGTCCCCGCGATTCCCACGGAGCCGCCCCACGGTCTCCATGCCCCCCCCCCCCTGACGAGGCCCAGAGGGACCCCACCATAGCAGGAAAGGGGAGAGGGGGAACTGGCGGCACGTAGATTTCGGCCACACGCAGTGAGAAGCCCTGGGTAAGAGTGACCTTTGGTGCGCCGCTTTTTGGGGGCCGCGGAGGGGCCAAACACAAGCGCGAAAAACGCTACCATCGCATCGAGCTCAACGACCGGAGGGCCCCATTGAGCCCGCAGCAAACGTCACTGCGGTGAACGGTCACTCGCACGTGAAGCCGAAGATTCCCTTCCGCGTTCGGCCTCCAGGGAGGGGCCGTCGCCGGGCCGCGGGGACATCCATAGGCGCCTCTCGGGACGAAGACTGGCCGTGGAGGCAGAGGTCCAGGCCCCGGCGGGGTCCACGTAGTGAAAAGACAGCGCGAGCCTCTCTCGAGGGGTCCAACTACAAATGGCGGCATGCAGAAGGCGGTAGCGACAATCACGGACGACGAACATGTCCATGTTCAAGTCTTCGCGGACTGGACGCTGAGGCACCATCCCAAAGGTACGCGGTCCCGTGGATACGTTCCGCGCATGGCATCTGCGCAAAACCGCCAGGTATCCTGGAGGTCGCGGCCAAAGAGCCCTCACCGCGAGGCTGTGGATACGGATCTGCTTCCCGCCTCTGAGATAGGGCAGGGCCTCGAACATTCAGAGTCGACGAGGTTGCTGGACGATTGGGAACTTACCCGAGGATCGGGGATCGAGATTTCGCTGCGGTCGCTGTTCTCACCTGTCGGAGCCTCTTTCTCCGGCCTCCGGGCGCGAGGCTGGCCCTCCACGAAGGCAGGGGCCTCCCGGAAGGCCTCGAAGCCTCGTGAGCAGGATCGCTCTGCAGTGCTGCCATGGAGCGACCTCGAACCAGCTGGAACAGCTAGAAAGATATCCCCCCTCCGCATCTTCGGGGGGGCGCTGCGTGGCCTCGCCGACGGCCGGAACGCGAGGACGATCATCATGGGACCATGTGGAGGAGGAGGAGGAGGCGGAGGAGGAGGCGGAGGCGGAGGAGGAAGAGGAGGAGGACTAGGAGGAGGAGGAGGAGGAGGAGGACCATTTGGAGGAGGAGGAGGAGGAGGAGGAGCAGGCGGAGGAGGCGGATGAGGAGGCGGCGGGAAAAGCTTTGAGGGCTCCTGAACCCCCCCCCACACCCAGAGGCTTCAGGGGGAAATGGAGAGGGAGGGGGGAGGACGAGGCGGAGGAGGCGGAGGAGGAGAAGGCGGCGGGAAAAGCTTTGGGGGCTTCTGGAGGGCCCCCCCCCCGCTCGGAAGCTTCCGGGGGAGGCGGCGCCGCGGCGAGGCCGCGCGCGAGAGGAGGCGCCGCGCCTGGACTCGCCGTCCAGGAGCGACGCGGACACGCCCGCGGTCTGCTCGTCGAAGTGCGAGCCGTGCCAGCCGCCGCCCTTCGTCACGTCGACCACCAGGCCGAGCTGGTCCTGTTTTCTTCCTCCCCCAAACGAGCACTGGTCGCGGCCATGCGTGGTCAATATATCGATGGGCCTGTTTTCCACCACCACCACCACAAGTTGGAGGGGGGAAGGAGGTGGAGGACAAGGAGGAGGAGGACGACTACGAGGAGGAGGAGGAGGAGGAGGAGGAGGAGGACGACGACCCCCTCTCACTCCAACTTATGGTGGTGGTGGTGGAAAACAGGCCAATCATATATCCTCTGCTGTGCTGTCGCCGTGCGATCACAGCGAGGGTTGCCGTGTCGACCCTGCGTGGAGAATCTGGATGCCGGATGCGGCCGAGCTGGCCCTAAACGGCCGGTCCGCGGCGAGGAAGGTGCGAAGGTAGAGGATCACAATACCCGTGAGACCACCGTCCGTGTTGCACGAGCTTCTGTGTGTGGCTGTGTTTGGGGAGCTCCAGGTGTGCGAGTGGCTTATCATGGGGCGATGCTAAGTGGTTGACCGCGTCTACCTCTTGCGACTCGTCTGACTGGTCTGCCGTCTGGCCATTGTCAATGCTGTTCCATATAAGCAACATGACTAGTATAGCTACTTATAGGTTCTCCATCGCGTCGACATGTTGTGCCTGTTCTCATCGATACAACTGTTCCCATCAACTCAACCCCTCGAACATCTTAGCCAGCGTGGACCTCAACCAGCGCGTTATCGTGATGTGGAGGTGACCGCTATGCGGTAAAAGCTATGTGGTGGAAACTGTATCTTGTAGGCGCTGTGGTATGAGCCATGGAGGTGAAAGCTACGCGGTGCAAGCTACGAGGTGCAAACTGCTGTATGGTGTAAGCTATGCGGTGTCCACTGGAGGTGGACGCCATGGGGTTTCAGCTGCGTGATGCAGCATAGAATGTGCAAGCTATGCGGTGTACGATCTGTGTGGTGTACTCCAGATTTCGTAATAAAGGGAGGGGGGTCTCATTTCGGGGGGGGTCTCTTCCAGGATATCTTGGAGGGCCTGGGGGGGTCTGGGGACGATGTTTTGGAGGGTTCTCCCACGGGGAGGGTCTGAAATGGCTTGTCTTGCAGGGTCCAGACCCCCTCCCTTTTATTACAAAATCTGGAGTAAGCCATCAGGTGGTAGCTGCGTCGTGAAATACCTAGTGTGAAGGCTACGTCGCGTGAGCTCAAATCACGCGGCGCCAACGCGGCGCCCACGGCGGGAACGCGGGGCAACCTCGGGACACCCGCCCGGCGCACGAGGCGCCAGCGGGGCGCCCGCGAAGCGCCCACGAGGCGGGCACGCGGCGCGCCACCTCGGGCAGCCCACCCCGCGCACGGGGGGCGCCCACGAGGCGTCTGCGAGGCAGCGCCGTCGGCGGCGGCGTGGCGCAGCCTCGGGAAGCCCACCCAGATCACGGGGCGCCCACGAGGCAGCGCTGGCGGCAGCGCGGCGCAGCAGGCCGCGACAAGACTGGGGCCGCTGCACCCCGAACCACCGACGCCGTGAAAGGAATCGCAGCTTGGTTAGCAAACAAGAGCGGCATAACAGACGGGAGCGTCACGACATAATTGTTATGCGGGGTTATCCGAACCAAATGGGTCCTGGAGAAGCCCCAGGGTTCGGAACGGAAGAAAGACGACCCTCGTGCTTTCGTCCTCTACGCTGGCCCTCCAGGGGAGCAGACCGTCGATGTCTTGATTATTTCGATGCGCGGGCCATCTGCCTATCGACGACCCCTCCCCTTGCCTGGGCTGATTCTATTAACGGTGCTGGTGCCCAGGAATGGCCCGTTACCGAAAACGCAGACACCCATCTGACTTGCCATTTATTTGTTACAAGGCACTGTGGGTCTGGGCGGATGTCTGGGTCTACCCTCCGAGGCCGAAACTGTGCATCTCCACCGCCTGGGAAACCGATGTCCCAGGACCCTCGGAGGCCATTGGATATGAATATTCTTAGGCTCCAGCCCTCGCTCAGAACAATCAACACCCACTGCTTTCTGAGGTCCTGGGACACCAGTTCCCCAGGCCCAGGTGGAGGCTATGTTGCCCGCTCTGGCTGCATTGAACCCCCAAATATGGACATCCCCCAGAGGCCACAACATGCATACGCACAAACCGCCCTGATCACTTCATGGCGCCAAGGTCTGAGGGTGGCTAGGGGCTGGTTTGCGACCAACCCCTGGGATACACAACCTTCTGGGACATGAACCCGCGTCCTCATGTTTGAGGTGAGGGTGCATTGTGTAGGCTGCCATTTGTCAGGCTTACGCCCTGAGTGCTGACAGCGTAAACGTACAGTCTCTGATTTCGCGTTCGTGCATCTGCGGCGTGACGTCATGTCCGCCAGAGCCACAATAACATGAGCCAGATTCGACTGATCCCCTGCACGCACAACATAGACCTGACAGGTCCCATGGGGGAGGAGGGAAGATAAAGATGAAGAGATAAGGGAATGAACGAGGGCCCCAGGACTGAGTCATGGTACTGCATGGCTCCAAAAACAAACGACTTCTCACCATGGCATGCCTCGTGGGGTGGCATACGGATTTATCTGGTTTCACCTGGTTGCATCTTGGTTTCATCTGGTTCCAGCTCGTTTCATCTGGTTTCATGTTGGCGTCTCTGGCCCGAACATGCTTTGTATACCTGCTGTCTTCTGAAACTGCTTACATGGACAGTCAGAGGTGTGTGAAATCCCAAGAGCGTCAGCAAAACACTTCTCAATGTTGGGTAGTACTGTGTGTTATGTAACCGTCTGGAGGCTGAGCTCCCCATGGGCGTAAACCGATCCTCTTTCTCTGACGCGGCTACTGGCGGCAGTCTGAATAGGGCAATACCCGATAACAAGCATCATCATCTTCTGAGTCCTCGCAGAATTCAGCATCATCCCATGTTGTCGCGAGTTCGTTCGCGCACAGACACTTAACCTACTTGCGAGGACGTTAGAGGTCCATCCTGTGGTGGCGCGATTTAATGTGGTTATCTCGCGACCTCTGGAATGTTGCCAGGCTCGCCAGAATCATGACCAGCTATGTCGACGTGCGTATTGCATGTACTCGGTCAGCGGAGCAATGCTGAGCATGAATGGTTTCGAAATATGGAGCGAGTGTGCAACCAGCATTTCGGCTGCAACCCGGTGACTATGAACGCGGAATCGTCACGCGCTGCTGATTCTGTGCAACTGCCCACCATCTGGGACTCCCGACGTAGTGACATGTTCGCGATGCACGCGACGTCCGTTTACGGCGGGAGGGAGGGGCGGAGCGCGTTGTAAATTTTACATTGAAGTGCAGGTCGCATCTGGGCCCCTGACCGGCTGAGGGTACGCTGGATGTCTGGGTCTTCCAAATTTAAAGGGAAATTAGGACACACAAATAAATACACACAAATAAAAATAGTCCCCTATATTTTTCCATATTTTCTGGGTTTCTGTCTTCCCCCCCACTTCCCATATTTTCCCATATTTTCTGGGAATCGCAAATTAATTGTGTCTGTGTGTTTTTTTCCCTCCTGACAATGCGGGGAGGCTGAGGCTCAACCCTCTCCATGGGGCCGGGCTTTTTTTTCCGTGAGCAGCTCTTGGAAGGCCACAAAATCCCGACGACTGCCTCCTCCTCCTCCTCCTCCTCTTCCTCCTCCTCCTCCCCTTCCTCCTCCTCCTCCTCCTCCTCCTCCTCCTCCTCCTCCTCCTCCTCCCCCTCCTCCTCCTCCTCCTCCTTAATCGAGAAAGGAGGGTCAAAAATCCGCACGGCTTCTCCCTGATGCCTGAGACCCCCTGTCCCCTTGCAGCCTCGGCTGGCCCCGGCGGCGCTGTCCCCGCGGCGGAGGAGCTGCTTCGCGACGGCCTGGCTGATGCGCTGCGACAGCCGCAGCCCTGCCACGAGGTCCTCTCGGGGGCCGACGGCAAGCAGCTGCCGCGGGCGCGCCTGCCTGCCCCCGCCCTGCCTTAACACACACACACACACACGGATTTGTATATGAGTATATGTATATGTATGTGTATATGTATGTATATAAATATAGATATATGTACATGTACATGTACATGTATGTGTATGTCTATAACACAAACATACACATACATCTCACCCAAATAGTGCCACGTGGCTGCCGTCGCCGCCTCGTTGCCGCCCGTCGCCACATGGATTGCACCAGGCAGATCGCACCACACAGGTTGCACCACGTAGGTTGCAACACATCGATGGCTCCACGCAGGATGCACCAGGTAGACTGCGCCGCTGTTTTGGCTGCGTGAGCCTCGTAGGTTGCAACACATCGGTTGCACCACATAGCCTGCTCCACATCGATTCCACCACATCTATGGCTTAACATGGATTGCATCACATCTGTTGACCCACATAGCTTGCACCGCATATAATGCACCACATAAGTTGCACCACATCGATTGCACCACATAGCCTACGCCAAATCCACCGACCCTGTCGGCGTGTGTGAGGGCTTGTCCGTTCGAGTCGTCGTCTCCGTTATTCGTCAGTCGTCGTCTCCGTCCCTACGCCCTCCATTTCCGTGGGCCCGTCGCCGCTCACTCCCTTTTCCTGGGCCCTCCTCCTGAAGCGCGCCAGCCAAAACGAAATTGAGCAACGTCGTAATTCAGACGAAGGGACGCCCCATCCCTATGATCCCTCCCCCCTCGGGAGGGGGGTCCTGGGGGACTGGCCACCAGATGCGACTCCCCCCAGGGGGGTCCCGGGTCCTAAAGAGAGGCCCCCAAGACGGTCCAAGAGTGCCCGAAGAGGCCCCCAAGACGGTCCAAGAGGGCCCCGAATCGTAAAACGATCTGTCCAAGACGCCTTGACAGCCTCCACACGGCCAATGGGGCCTGCAAGACGCCCCAAGAGGCCTCCAGGAGCAGTCCCAAGAAAGCCCCAAGAAAGCCCCACGGCCCTTGAGCTTCTGACGGGTTTGGGCGTTCTTGCCTCTTCCGCTCCCCCACGCTACAAGACGGCCTAAGGGGCCCTCAAGATCGCCCCAATACGGCCCAACGTCCTTCAAGAGGTTCCCAAACATGGCCCAGGAGGGCCCCAAGACGCCCGAAACGCCTTCAAGACAGGCTAAGAGGCACCCAAGGCGGCCCCCAAAGGGTACCCAGACGAGGACCCGAACGGACGTCTCGAGCCCTCGCCCCCGAGAAGATCTCAGGAAGCCCCAAGAGGCCTCCAAGACGCCCCAAAGAAGCTCCCATGAAGCCAACCTGGAGGCCCCCAAGAGGCTCCCAAGAGGCCGCCCAAGACTCACTCAAAACGCCTCCAAGCTGCCCACCAGAGGCCCGAAAGCGCTCCGAAGAGACCACGACAAGCATCCCCTCCTGCCCCCGTTCCTCGCTCTTCTCCTCCCGTTCCTCCGCCCTGTCGTCATCGTCCTCCACCTGCTTATTGCCCTCCTCGACCTCCTCCTGCCCCAACTCCCCCTCATCATCCTCCTCCTCCTCATGCTCTTCCCCCTCCTCCTCCTCCTCCTCCTCCCCCTCCTGCTCCACCGAATCCTCCTCCTCCTGCTCCTCCTGCTCTTCCTCCTCCGCTTCCTCCTCCATCCCTTTGCCTTATTGACGACTCCTCCCTGTCGCACCCCGAGGCCAGTCGGAAGGGCGAACTGGGCGTTTCCGTGAGACTTCCTTACCATATGTGAGCTTCCAGCTTAACAGCTGGCAACACTTTCAAAGATGGAGGGCGGGCCGCTTCCAAAATGTGGCTCTCGCCTCAACGCCGCGCACATTCGTTTCAAGCATCTGCAACACATTCACGAATTGAGGGCGATTCGTCTTCAAAATGCGGCTCTCGCTGTAGCGCCGTGCACATTCGTTTCAGCAATGTGCAAGAGTTTCACGGATTGAGGGCAGTTCCTTTTCTTTTTGTGGCTCTCGCCTTACAGTCGGGCCGAGGTATAAGATCGAGGTCGGCTCGGGCTGGGTACCCGAATGTTCTTCGTTTGTTGGATGCTCTTGTGCATCCTGGGGAGGGTACCCTCGGATGTACTGTGTGTTGGCCGGGGGTGGGTCTCATGTTCTTGAAGGATATTCTTCTGTCCGAGGTCCGACTATAACGCCGAGCACATTCGTTAAACAAGAAGTGCAGAAGTTCTTCGTATTGAGGGCGGATCCTTTTCAAAATGTGACTCTCGCCTTGGCGCCGCGTACGCTTGGTGTTGAACATTGCGAGAGTTCCACTGGTTCTCGTGGTTAGCGCACCAGGAATGGTGCTCTCGAACGCTTCAGGGTTGTCAGGGCGCAACAGTTACGTTAATTCACGGTGCTGAAATCCCAGGAATGGTATTCTGCCACGATTCAGGAACGTCAGGGCGCAACAGTCAGGTTAACTCGTGGCGTTGAAGTCCTGGAAATGGTGTTTTGGCACGCTTAAGGATTCTCACAGGGTTGTCCCCCAACGGTGCACTTCCATTTTTGTATATATATATATATATATATATAAATATATATATATATACACATAAATATGGTTTAGTGCCCTATGATGAGGGAGTTTGGAGGCAGGGTGGATTCCAACATCGTTGATGAGCCTTGGATTTGCACTGGTCACCCTTGTCCCTCCTCCTCATCACCCTCCTTCGCATCCTCCTCATCATCATCCTCATCCTCATGATAATCCTCCTCATCCTGATCCCCCCCCTCCCCCGGGTGCTTTTTCCCCTGGTGTTCCGCAACCTTACCTCGACCTCTTCCTCCCCGTTCTCCTCCTCCTCCTCCTCCTGCCCCTCCTCCTCCCCCTCCTCCGCGTGCTCCACCTTCTCTTGCGCCTCCGTCCCCCGTTCTCCTCGTCCTCCTACTGATCGTTACCCCCCCCGTCCTACCCTTGCCTATGCTCCCCCTCCTCATCCTCCTCCGCCTCCTTCTGCTGCTCCACCGCGTCCTCCGCCTCCTCCTCCTGGTTCTTCACCCCCTCCTCATCGTCGTCCTCGTCGTCGTCGTTTTCAGGGTCGGCGGAACCGGCCGCAAGGTCTTCACAACATATGGCACCACGTAGCGTACACGACATATTTTGCTTAGACATAATTCACACCACACCCACGTAAATAGCATGGGTTGCACCACACATATTGCACCACGCAGACTGCACCACATAGCGTACACCACATAGGTTGCCACAAGTAGCTTACACCATATGTGTGTATAGATATATTGTTTATCATCGCCAGCACTACATAGATGACGCCGCATGGCTTACACCACTTACATTGCACCACATGATTAATATGCGAGAGCACGCTGTTTGGGTTCACGCTGGCTAGCAGACACACATTTGTATATACACATGTATGTATGTATGTATCAGAACCATCGCGCGCTCAAGTTCGACTTGCCAAGGTTCAGCGTATGGGGGGTCAGATGGACCTTGTCCAGATGATCGGGTCCTTGGCTTGGAAACGCACGCCTTGGTTTCTGACGTCGCCTTGAGGCTGTGTGTTGAAGGGCGCTCCTGGACTATCCTCTGGCAATATTGCATTTCTGTTCGGGACCATGGGAGTTCCCGAGGCTATCCTGGAGCCACGTGTTGACAACACAGGGGATCTCCAGAAAAGAAAGGAAAACGCGTTGGGAAGTCATGTGCATGTTGACTGACTTGGCTCTCTTGGAAGTCCCGTGCGGGCACTCCGGCGGCTTCTTGGGGCCTCACTGTACACTGCTGGAGACTTCCTGGGGCAGCCTGGGGGTCTCCTGGGACCGTCGTGCGGCCTTCTTAGAACTTCTACACAATCGGCTCCGGGAACCTCCTGGGGGAGCTCGAGGAGAGCTCCCGGGAGGCCCCCAGACAGGGGCGCCACTTAGGGGGGCCCCGCAGGCTTCCGGTATATGACTGGAGCATGGTGGTACCAGGAGGCAAGATACACCACGCGAAATGCTTAAGAAATCATGGGTTAAGAAATTCATAGTCTCAGACTTTGAATAACAACCCAACGTTTCCATTAAAATCTGAAGATTTACATGGAAACGTTAAGAATAATCGAGACTCTGGCCGAAAACTTAGGTTTTCTTAAGCATCGCCTAAGGTGTAGAGAAGGAAGGGTGGCAAGTCGGGCAGAGTGGAGGAAGGCGGGCAAAATGCGTGCAACAAGACAAGGAGGAGGGAGTTGGGAAGAGGGACGGGAGGAGGGAGGAGGCGGACGTCAAAGAGAGATGGAGGAGGAGGGGGAGGGGGAGGGGGAGGAGGAGGAGGAGGAGGAGGGGGAGGGGGGGGGGAGGAGGAGGAGGAGGAGGAGGAGGAGGAGGAGGAGGAGGAGGAGGAGGAGGAGGAGGAGGAGAGACGGAAGAGAGGAGGAGGAGAAGGAGAAGGAGAAGGTAGAGGGAGTACAGGGGGATGCCAAGTGAAAAGGGGAGGGACGGGGAGGGGCAGGGTGGAGAAAGGGATCACAGAGGCGGTGAGGAGGATGGACGGGGCAAGAGGGCGAGTACGACGTAGAGGGCAGGAGAAGAAGGAAGCGGGAGAGAGGAGGGAACGGAGGGAGCTATAGACGAGGAGCATGTAATGGAATAGGGTTGGATGAGGGAGAAGGCGGAGGCATGATGAACATACATAGGAGGGCGCATGACGAGAGAGTATCCGAACTGAGAGAGGAAAGGGTGTAGAGGGGTAGGAGGCGTAAGTATGAGAGAAGAGAAGGAGGAGGAGGAGGAGGAGGAGGAGGAGGAGGAGGGTGAGGAAGAGGAGGAGGAGGAGGAGGAGGAGGAGGAGGAGGAGGAGGAGGAGGAGGAGGAGGGAGTGGGTGGGAGGGGGGGGAGGAGGAGGAGGAGGAGGGAGGAGGAGGAGGGGAGGAGGAGGAGAGGAGGAGGAGGAGGAGGAGGAGGAGGGAGGAGGAGGGAGGAGGAGAAGTGGGGGGAGTGGGAGAGAGAGGAGGAGAAAGAGGATGAGGAGGAGGGCGGGGAGAGTGCAAGACGTATCTCTGTAGTCTCTACGGGGGCCGCTTGAGACATCTTAAATGTGTGTTCGGGTCTCCGTGGAAGCCTCTGGGCAGCCGCTTGGGGACAGTTGTGAGGCCTCTTTGGGCGCCTTTCGGGCCTCTGTCGGGCATCTTTTGGGCCTCTTGGATCCTGTTGGGGAGTGTTTGGGGGCCTGCGCTGGCGATCTTCGGGGTCCTTTTGGGGCGGGGGCCTGGACAAGTCCGCTCGAATTCCCTCCCTGGGGCCCCTCTTGAGCCCTCTAGGGGCCGTCTTGGGTGGTCATGGGTGCCCCTGGACGGCCTTATACCCTCTCTGGCCCTCTTGGGGCCCTCTTGGCCGTCTTGGGGCTGTCTTGGCGGCCTCTTGGGCGCTAATCAGAAGAGCGAATTTGCTAGAAATGTGCGTCTCCCTTCATGAATCGGACAAAGTTTGCCCCTCAGGGTCCTCTTGGAGCCGTCTTGGGGCGTCTTGGGGGCCTCGTGAGCCGTCTTGACGCCGTCTGGGGCCGTCCAAAGCCACGTTGGCCCGTCTGGGACCTAGTTGGAACCTACCCGGAAGCTCCGGGGGGGCCAAGGAACCTCTGGGGAGGCCCCCAGGGGTGGAGGGGGGACTTGCAGTCCTCCTCGAAATCGAACAAAAACTTTTACCGTCTGTCGGTCGACGCGCGAAACGCAGCGGGGTCATGTTTTTGTGCTTGCAGTCGCCAATTTCGGCGCGAACATTCAAATGTTGGGGTCCTGGGGCGCCGCCACGTCGCGGGAAGAACTTGCGTTTTTAACTTCGAGGGGGTATGCAGTGTAAATCAGGTGCCCCTGGTAGTGGGCTCCCGTCCGACCCGGAAATCTAGTATAACAAACTTGCAGTACACCCTGCGAAATGCTTAAGAAACCATGGGTTAAGAAATTCAGAGTCTCAGAACTGGAATAAAAACCCAGAACTTCTATCAAAATCTTGGGATTTACATTGGCAAGTTAAGAATAATCAAGACTCTGGCCGAAAACTTAGGTTTTCTTAAGCATCGCCTAAGGTGTATATCGTTTCCCGAGCGGTGTGGCCAGACAGCGCCCGCCGCGGAACGTGTACTGGAAGACTTCTCAGCGCGCGCGCGTCGCCCCTGGGGGGAGCAGGGGGGGCGACCCATACACACAATCACACACACACACATACACTCACTCACTCACACACAGTATATTGGTATGCTGGGATGGCGCCAATTGCCTGTCAAAGCCTCGATCCTCGAGCTCCTCCGGCCCCCCTCCCCCTGGACCTGCCTGTCAAAACCTCGTGGGCGCGGATCAGCGAGGGGCGATAGAAGAGGGGAGAAAGTTGCCCTCGGACCCCGAAGGCCGCCTTCGGGGCATTTTGGGGCCCCTCGGGTGCCCTGCAGGGCCCCTTTTCGGCAGCCCTCGCTCCCCCTCCCCCATTCATCGCCTCCCCCCCCATTAGTTACTCCGCGCCCAAGCCTCGACCTTCGCAGCTCCTCCGGCCCCCCTTGCCCCTGGTGGCGGGGGGGGGAAGCTGCCCTCCTCCGCCAGCAGCCGCTCCAGCGCCTGCTTCGAGACGGACAGGGTCCAGCCGCTGTCCGATGCCACGGTGCTGGGGGGGGGGTGATGATGATAATGATGATGATGACGACGACGATGATGATAATGATGATGCTGCTGCTGCTGCTGCTGCTGCTGATGATGATGATGATGATGATGATGATGATGATGATGATGATGATGATGATGATCACGGGGGGGGAGAAGGGGGGAGGGGGAGGAAAGCCGAGGGGCAGCGATGCTCAAAGGGGAGCAGACGTGGTGCCTCCGAGGGGGGGAGGGAGGGAGAGAGAGAGAGAGGAACAAAACGGGGGGGGCGGCCCTCAAGCACGATCGCAAGACTCGACGACTGCATCTTCTCGCGCACGATTCGAGCCCATGGGATCAGGCACAGTCGGAGCTACACCCTGCGAAATGCTTAAGACATCATGGGTTAAGAAATTCATAGTCTCAGAACTTGAATAAAAACCCAAAAATTCTATTAATATCTTAGGATTTACCTTGAAACGTTAAGAATAATCGAGACTCTGGCCGAACATTCAAGTTTTCTTAAGCATCGCCTGAGGTGTATGCCAGAAGACCATCCCTCAAGAGCAAAGTATGAGACCCTCCGTCGGCCCAAGCAAACAGAACATCCGAGGGTACCCTACCGAGGGTGCACATGAGCATCCGACAGACACGAATAACACCGGGGTGCCCTCCCCGAACCGACCTCGATCTTCTACTTCGGTCCGGCTGTAGCAGGGAAGTTGTCTGCTTGCAAGGGGGGAGCGGTAGTGGCGGCGATTCCAGACGCCACGCAGTTCCCGAATCCCTTGCCCACCTAAGGTGGTCAAATGCCAATGAGAAGGCAGTGGAGGAAGGCGGGCAGGATCATACTCTGGTCTGAATATCTGAGCCTGCAAAGCATGAATGGAAAACGCGCTCATCATGGACCATGCGGCTTCTTCAGACGTGATAGCGGAAGCTGGCCCAAACATACAACGTAATGACAAAGTCAAGGAAGAGGAATTGCTGCAATTTCCAGCGCCGTTTTCGGGCCGCTCTGGCTGTCAAAATTACCCTGGCGACGTACCCAACCCCTGCGCAAAAGCGGGGCGCAAATAGTTTAGGATACTTTATAAGGTGGCGATGACGGAGCGAGGGTTACATATGTCTGCAGACGGAATTCGGGAGACTCGCAGGACACTGGCTACAGGAAAAGGGCTTGATAAAGCTGATGATTTACAATTCCTGAGCACTCCTAGCCACTTCGAAAACGGGGATCACAGCAGGCCTCGAAAGTGGCGACAGGTTCACAGATCGCAGCCCCGCAGGGATGGCGAGGTCTCATTTGAATCTGCCCGTGGCCCTCACTGTGCTGGGCCCCCCAGCAGGCCTCGAAAATGGCGACAGTTTCGCAGATCGCAGCCCCCCAGGGATGGCGAGGTCTAATTTGAATCCGCGCGTGGCCCTCACTGTGCTGGGCCCCCCAGCAGGCCTCGAAAATGGCGACAGTTTCGCAGATCGCAGCCCCCCAGGGATGGCGAGGTCTAATTTGAATCTGCGCGTGGCCCTCACTGTGCTGGGCCCCCCAGCAGGCCTCGAAAATGGCGACAGTTTCGCAGATCGCAGCCCCCCAGGGATGGCGAGGTCTAATTTGGGTCCGCCCCTGGCCCTCACTGTGCTGGGCCCCCCAGCAGGCCTCGAAAATGGCGACAGTTTCGCAGATCGCAGCCCCCCAGGGATGGCGAGGTCTAATTTGAATCCGCGCGTGGCCCTCACTGTGCTGGGCCCCCCAGCAGGCCGGCCTCGAAAATGGCGACAGTTTCGCAGATCGCAGCCCCCCAGGGATGGCGAGGTCTAATTTGAATCCGCCCCCTCACTGTGCTGGGCCCCCCAGCAGGCCTCGAAAATGGCGACAGTTTCACAGATCGCAGCCCCCCAGGGATGGCGAGGTCTAATTTGAATCCGCCCGTGGCCCTCACTGTGCTGGGCCCCCCAGCAGGCCTCGAAAGTGGCGACAGTTTCACAGATCGCAGCCCCCCAGGGATGGCGAGGTCTAATTTGAATCCGCGCGTGGCCCTCACTGTGCTGGGCCCCCCAGCAGGCCTCGAAAATGGCGACAGTTTCGCAGATCGCAGCCCCCCAGGGATGGCGAGGTCTAATTTGGGTCCGCCCGTGGCCCTCACTGTGCTGGGCCCCCCAGCAGGCCTCGAAAATGGCGACAGTTTCGCAGATCGCAGCCCCCCAGGGATGGCGAGGTCTAATTTGAATCTGCCCGTGGCCCTCACTGTGCTGGGCCCCCCAGCAGGCCTCGAAAATGGCGACAGTTTCACAGATCGCAGCCCCCCAGGGATGGCGAGGTCTAATTTGAATCCGCCCGTGGCCCTCACTGTGCTGGGCCCCCAGCGCCTCGAAAATGGCGACAGTTTCGCAGATCGCAGCTGTAATTGGGTCCGCCCGTGGCCCTCACTGTGCTGGGCACCCCAGCAGGCCTCGAAAGTGGCGACAGTTTCACAGATCGCAGCCCCCCGCAGGCAAGACAGGAGGAGGCAGGCAGGCAGGAGGAGGAGGGAGGCGAGACGCGACCACACTGCTCTATTCAAAACGAATACCCAACCAAGGAGGGTTGGGAAATTACCCTGGCGACGTACCCAACCCCTGCGCAAAAGCGGGGCGCAAATAGTTTAGGATACTTTATAAGGGGGCGATGACGGAGCGAGGGTTACATATGTCTGCAGACGGAATTCGGGAGACTCGCAGGACACTGGCTACAGGAAAAGGGCTTGATAAAGCTGATGATTTACAATTCCTGAGCACTCCTAGCCACTTCGAAAACGGGGATCACAGCAGGCCTCGAAAGTGGCGACAGGTTCACAGATCGCAGCCCCGCAGGGATGGCGAGGTCTCATTTGAATCTGCCCGTGGCCCTCACTGTGCTGGGCCCCCCAGCAGGCCTCGAAAATGGCGGCAGTTTCGCAGATCGCAGCCCCCCAGGGATGGCGAGGTCTAATTTGAATCCGCGCGTGGCCCTCACTGTGCTGGGCCCCCCAGCAGGCCTCGAAAATGGCGACAGTTTCGCAGATCGCAGCCCCCCAGGGCGAGGTCTAATTTGGCGACTGTGCTGGGCTCGAATTTCGAATCGCAGCGGGATGGCGGTCCCGCCGTGGCCCTCACTGTGCTGGGCCCCCCAGCAGGCCTCGAAAATGGCGACAGTTTCGCAGATCGCAGCCCCCCAGGGATGGCGAGGTCTAATTTGAATCCGCGCGTGGCCCTCACTGTGCTGGGCCCCCCAGCAGGCCTCGAAAATGGCGACAGTTTCGCAGATCGCAGCCCCCCAGGGATGGCGAGGTCTAATTTGAATCCGCGCGTGGCCCTCACTGTGCTGGGCCCCCCAGCAGGCCTCGAAAATGGCGACAGTTTCGCAGATCGCAGCCCCCCAGGGATGGCGAGGTCTAATTTGAATCCGCGCGTGGCCCTCACTGTGCTGGGCCCCCCAGCAGGCCTCGAAAATGGCGACAGTTTCGCAGATCGCAGCCCCCCAGGGATGGCGAGGTCTAATTTGAATCCGCGCGTGGCCCTCACTGTGCTGGGCCCCCCAGCAGGCCTCGAAAATGGCGACAGTTTCGCAGATCGCAGCCCCCCAGGGATGGCGAGGTCTAATTTGAATCCGCGCGTGGCCCTCACTGTGCTGGGCCCCCCAGCAGGCCTCGAAAATGGCGACAGTTTCGCAGATCGCAGCCCCCCAGGGATGGCGAGGTCTAATTTGAATCCGCGCGTGGCCCTCACTGTGCTGGGCCCCCCAGCAGGCCTCGAAAATGGCGACAGTTTCGCAGATCGCAGCCCCCCAGGGATGGCGAGGTCTAATTTGAATCCGCGCGTGGCCCTCACTGTGCTGGGCCCCCCAGCAGGCCTCGAAAATGGCGACAGTTTCACAGATCGCAGCCCCCCAGGGATGGCGAGGTCTAATTTGGATCCGCCCGTGGCCCTCACTGTGCTGGGCCCCCCAGCAGGCCTCGAAAATTGCGACAGTTTCACAGATCGCAGCCCCCCGCGGGCAAGACAGGAAGAGGCGGGAGGGGAAAAGGAGGAAGGGCGGGAGAAGGGACGCGACCACACTGCTCTATTCAAAACGAATACCCAACCAAGGAGGGTTGGGAAAAATACAAATGAATCACCTGGACTAGGCCGTGAGCCCATGCAGACCGCGCTTTGAACAACAAGCACGAGAAATCGGAGGTGTGCGTTGAAGGGGGCACGGGTAGGACGAACTCCAGCCCTCAGATGCTTCGATGGGTCAATGCGCAGGCCTCGGAATTCTCGACCCTTCTCGGAGGCCTGCTATCTGTTGAGGGCCCAGGGGCCCGAGAATGACCGGTAGACGCCAGGCTTGTGAAAAACATAAGCCCTGTTTTTGCACCAAGACGTTCGAGGTCTGGGGCCTCCTCTTCAGAATCGCCCCCCGCGCTTTGACCCAAACTTACTATTGAATCCAGCCGTTGCGACGAGGGCCCCCTGGGAGGACTCAAACGTCTCCCAAGACATCACAAGCCTCGATCTTCGAACCCCGAGCCGCAAGGACAACCAGGACGCTCTGAAGTAACGGAGGGGAAGAGGGGGGCAACAGCAGCACGGGGGGATCGGCAGCGCAGGCTTGGCGAGGGGAAGGGAAAAAGAGACAGCGCGCGGGGGTGAGCGAGGGAGTCGGGGGGGGCGCTCAAATCAGCGCGTGCTGACTGTACTCAACCAAACACTTGCCAACTCTCAGACTCTGAACGTCACAGCAAACATCGAGGCGGCAAAGTTCTGCCACTTTCGGACTCAAGGTTCGTTCCTTGACCCCAGAACCGTAACACAAGCATAACTCTATAGGAAGAGAACAACAAAATGACAGGAAGAAAAAAAGGAATCCGAAGAAGACCTCGAGATCCACGACAGGGGCCCCTGGCAAACGATACACATGCCAGATCGGACTATTTTCTCACGTTGACAGCTCACCGTCGCACGCAGTCCCTAGATTCAGGGCTTGTGGCCTCGCCTTGTTCGGGAGAAAACTGTTCAGCCTTTAAC